TGAGTGGTTAGGTTGTCAACAAGTGAAAGTTCCTAAACAAAAGGCAGTGGGGTTGTTGTAGCCCCTAAGCATACCAGAGTGGAAGTGGGAAAACATAGCAATGGATTTCATAGTAGGATTACCCAAAACGCACAAGCATATACAGTGATCTGGGTAGTTATCGATAGGTTGACCAAATCGGCACACTTCCTACCTGGGAAAGCTACATATGCAGTTGACAAATGGGCACAACTGTATGTGAAAGAAATAGTAAGACTACGTGGAGTCCTAGTGTCTATAGTGTCGGATCGGGATTCCCGCTTTACGGTAGCGTTTTGGCGCGGACTTCAAAAAGCGCTGGGTACCCGCCTCAACTTTAGTACCGCTTTCCACCCCGAGCGTTTAAACCAAATTCTAGAGGACATGTTACGCGCTTGCGTACTAGATTTTAAGGGAAGTGGGATTCCAAACCCCACCTCATAGAATTCTCGTATAATAATAGTTTTCAAGCAACTATTGAAATGACACCGTTTGAGGCCCGATACGAAAAACGGTGTAGGTCCCCACTATGCTGGGACGAAGTAGGCGAGAGAGAGTTAGTAGGACCTGATCTGGTTCGACTCACCAATGAGGCTGTCCAGAAAATTCGAGCAAGGATGCGTATCGCTCAAAGTAGACAGAAAAGCTATACCGATATAATGCGTAGAGCCTGGAGTTTGAGATAGGGGACCCGGTATTCTCCAAGGTGGCACCTATGAAAGGTGTGTTAAGATTCGGACATAAGGGCAAGTTAAGTCCTAAATTCATTGGACCATTCGAGATCCTAGAGCGGGTTGGTCCGGTAGCGTATAAGTTAGCCTTACCTCCAGCCCTCTCAGGAGTACATGATGTATTTCATGTGTCGATGCTGAGGAAGTACATTACGGATCCGATTCACGTAATAGACTACGAACCACTCCAACTCAATGAAGATCTGAGCTACGAGGAAAAACCAGTAAGAATCTTAGCTAGAGAGGTAAAAACCTTACGCAACAGGAGTATTGCGTTCGTTAAGGTACTGTGGCGGAATCACCACAGTGAGGAAGCCACGTGGGAGCGGCTAAGTTGAGGTTCCCGGGTAATTAGATAGTTAGAAAAAAAAGCGTGAGGACGAGATAAGAGAGAAATACCCCGAGTTGGTACAAGAGTTTGAGACTTTCGAGGACGAAAGTTCTTTTTAGGGGTAGATAATGTAACGACCCGGGAAAGAAAGAAAGAAAAANTCAGTTGAACCAACCCAGACTAGACCCACGGTCCAATTGAGCCGGCCTGCAAACCAAACACTCGCGGCTCAGCCCAGTAAGCCGAGGCCCAACGTTTAGCCTTGGCCCAGTAGCCTTCCACAGCCGCGACCCGAACCACGACCCGAACCGGACTGCGACCCGCGCTTCGACCCGACACTACCGCCCGACGTGGCTTTNAAACCAAATTCTAGAGGACATGTTACGCGCTTGCGTACTAGATTTTAAGGGAAGTGGGATTCCAAACCCCACCTCATAGAATTCTCGTATAATAATAGTTTTCAAGCAACTATTGAAATGACACCGTTTGAGGCCCGATACGAAAAACGGTGTAGGTCCCCACTATGCTGGGACGAAGTAGGCGAGAGAGAGTTAGTAGGACCTGATCTGGTTCGACTC